CTATGAGGAAAGAGGTCAGCCTTCGATTAGTCAGCTTGTCCACCCTTGGGCTGTGAATTTAAAATGAGCAAGCTATTCCCGAGTGACTCCATTTGCAGCCATTCTTGCTCTGCTTTGGCTCGGTCCGCTTTCAAAATGGATTAAGTGCATCTGCACGTGGAGTAAGATTGTTCTAGAGTCGCCGCTTCAAAATAAACCCCAGTGGTGGACACAACCTGAGTTTGGTCCTCCAAGGTTGCAGCGTGAGCTTTTATGGCCTGGGCAGCGCTGCAGGTTAAGGAGGGGTGCAGGTCTGATGGGGCAAAGGGGCAGTGCAGGGAAAAAGAGGAGCGCTGCTAGAGAAGGAGCTGTTCCTTTAGAGCGTGCAGCTGCTTTGCCCGCGTGTCATGGCTGCAGGTCTCAGGTGTTGCATTCCTGAAGGCAGACAAGGTTCTCTGGGTAAATGTGATATTTTTTATTAGCTGAATTAAATCGTTGGAAAAATTGTTCCATTCCTGAAGGGAATTCTAAGGACTCTGCCACCCTTGGAGGTTTTACTGCACATAAGAAGAGTCTCAAGAGAGGGCTGTAGGCTCTCCAGCTCAGGGTTATGATGCAGGAAATCAGCTGCTCCATTTATAAGGGCATGACTAAGTTGGCCTAGGGCTTGTAAAAGGCCGTTTTCATCAGCATGAGCATCAGTTGCTTCTATGGACCTAAATCAGTGGGAACCCTTTCCTTTCAAAAGATCAAACTCCTCTCACCGTGGTAACAATTGTAGCATCCTCCAAGCATGCAAGACCTCTGTGCGGTGCTGCTGGAGCGCACACAGCCCTTCCTAATGCAAGATGACAAGGCTACATCAAATATCTATTAATCTTCATGTACCTACCCATATATAAAAATGCCACGGCCATCCCTAGGTATATGCTGACACTTAACACTGCCGGAATAAGTGTGTGCTTTACTAACCGCCATTGTGTGCCAAGCTGGCTTTAATAGCTCAGCGTCTTAGTAACTGCTGGCACCTGTGTATAATCTTCACCTACTTGAGAGCATTTGTCTGTAGCATTAACAGGGTCCTCATCCAAAGTCAATGAAACAGCCTGCTCAACTGGAGCTCTTGCAAAGTGGTGTCCTTGACTCGCTCACAGCTTGTCCCGGAGACCGTTGAAGTCTATGGAGAAACTCTCACTAATTGAAGCAGGTATCTGGATCAGGCCTGATGCCACCTGCACGCCTGGTTTACATGTAGTCGTGTATCTACTGGTAGAGATCCCTAAATGGGTTAAGAAAAGTGCAATCGATTAGAAGCTGACTATAGACAAACAGAAAAGGCCAAATCGATTCATCCGGTCTGCTTTAATTTTCCGAGAGGGGAGAAATGAAATCAGAAAACCCAGGTGGCATAAACAGGGCAAAGTGACCGCAAGTTTGCAACTACTGCCGTCTTACAAGCATTTGGCGGCAGAATCCAGGTCTATTTTATTAAATATCCAGGGTCTGTTTCCCCTTTGCCTTATCAGCTCGAAACTCCATCCCAATTCAGTGCAATCAAGTTGGGGTACCGGAGTGGAGCATTGGGCCTCTTTTGCTGATAAGGACTGCAGGTACCATCCACCTACAGCAAAAGCTCTGTAGCTGGACCCTGCAGGAGGCCCAGCTGTGAGCCGCTGTCATGGGCTGTTTGCTTGTTTTCTAAGTGATGCAGCATTGTGTGTATTATGTATGTACATCTATACAAATATCTTTCACGCTTAGGCTAATTGAAGTGGAGCCCTTCCCTTTTCGCAGATGCTGTTACGACTCCTGCGGTCACCAAGCCACCCTCCATGCTGCAGGTTTAAACGAAACGGCAGAATTTATCGAAGCACAGAGTGTTATAAATTCTGAGGGGTGGGGGGAAGGATGGACCAGGGTTGCAGAAAAGGCATTAGTTCTGTTCATGGCCCAGTGGGCTGTTTCCGTGGGTTCAGTGCCTCCCCTTTCTGTCGCACTCTCGCTCTTGTTAGGTCTGATGAGTCCCCGGGCAGTCACTGAGACCTGGTAACTGCTCTAAGGTACCATAATGGCCATAAAATGATTTTTATTATCTGATCAGCGCTGTTCTCTTTAGCCCGAGAAGTCACAGCAGAGAGCGCATAGCAATTATTTTGCAGCGGAAATTTGCACACGCACACCCCTCCCCCTTTAATTGTTATGATAAATTGCAACTTCAGAAAATATATAAAGCTCAGGGATGATAAAGCCAATGCTGATATGAAGCCCCAGCTTTCCAGCACGGCCGGAATCTGGTGCAAATTTGCTCTTCCTTCCCTGCCCCTTCTCACACGGCACGAGCCTACAGAGGATGGCTTTAGGCAGAGGGCAAGCTCTGTGCAAATCGGCTAGCAAAGAGAAAACGGCGTGCAGAGCAGCCGGAGGGAGCAGAGTGGGTTGGGAAAGTTCCCGACAGATGGGAGGTGGCTGGGACCCAGCAAGGAGAGCCCCTGTCATGCTTCCTGCAGGCTCTGGAAAAGGCAGAAGAGCCTACTTTCCAAGAGCCATGTGAATGGGTCTCCGCTGATCTTGGACGAGGAGTGCCAGGTTAGGCACAAATGACTGTTCTCCATGGCAGTGCTTCTTGGAAGAAGTGCATAAACATTAGACTCCCCCCATGAGTGGCCTTCAGAGCATCCCTGGGCATGAAGGCTAGTGCAGCATGGTGCCTGCCAACGTGGCACCTTGCTGCTGAACGTGGGTACTTGAGAAGCAAAGTGAAGGCTGCTGCAGGCTATGCCAAAACCTAGGACCTTTAAAGACTTGGAGGGAATAACCATGTTGCTGCTCCCTGGGGGTGCCAACTCCACCACCTGGTCTCTACTTCCACAGTGACCCAAGAAGAAGTTTGAGGAAACTTTATGAGCAAAGCATGCTGCTTGGGGACTTCCCTCTTCCCTGCATATGTGGGCTTTCCCTATTTTATAGGTCACTGTGACCCATTGCTCTTGTCCCTTTGTGTCTGCTGTTGACAACAGCTGCTTCCTTGGCTCTGAAATATGTTAGAATGGGATAGCTAATGCAACTCCTTTGGGTCACGCCTTCCAGATGGATTTAGCTAATTATTGCAAGGATTGGGGCTCCCTTTAATGAGCACAACTGGAAATTTGTTGGCAGAGGTTAGATGAGACGTTTTCATATTGTCCTCATGGAAAGTTCATAATGGGTTTAATTAAAAACCCTGGGCTGTAATAGCACTGGATCTTACCCAGCAGCCTCTGCAGGGACTCTCCCCTCCTTTGCCAGAGCATTTTGGTTTTCCTGGATTATTTGAGAGGTCAGAGCTACAGCCTTCGAGCACCTCTGCAGTGTGGAGTGTCATTCTGCATTTATCTGACCTGGCCTCATGTAGCTCTGCTGTCTCCTCCTTCCCGTCCTTCCTGAAAGCATCCTCCTTTCAAGAGGCTTATAAGCTTTTGCCTCTCCCATGGAAGAATATGCAAGCATGGTCATAAAATCATAGCAAATTAGGGTTGGAATTAGGATTGGAAGGGACTTCAGGAGCTCATGCACAAGTAATAGGCAAATAATAAGGCTCCTGCTTTATTTCACCCTCCCCACGATTCCCTTCCCAGGCTTGTGCTCTCAGTAAGATTTTAAGCTCTACGGCAGAGCTTTCCAAACTGTGTGCCGCGACACATTAGTGTGTCGGCGGCAGTGTGTAGGTGTGTTGCGCGAAATGCAGAAAATTTTGCGGAAGGGCACCACGGAGCTCCCTTACTCGTGTCTGCTTCCCTTGGCCCCTCCCCCAGAACTGAATTACTGTGTCGCGAAATGATGCATGTCTAAAAAGTGTGTCACCAACATGAAAAGTTTGGAAAGCTCTGCTCTACGGGGTAAAAGCCTTATCATTGTGTCAGTGAGTATCCTGAAAGCATTTATTATGCCATAAGTGCTAGCTTGGTCGCTATCTTGGTTGATGCACCAGAGACCGAATTGGGGTCCTCTCTTGATAAAAGCATCAGGTGCTACAGCTTGCACTGGGGAGCCCAGACTCCCAACCCGGGGTTATACTGGGCTCCTGCCCCATGTGGTTTATGTATGGTGTGTGGAAGGGATGGAGAGATGGTGGCCTGTGATACATGTGACCATGGGCTTCCCTATACCAATAGTATGTAATAGCTAGAGGGTTGGTATTAAGCTGTGGGTACAGTTGCACCAAGCACAGTGACCCTATACCTTAAGTGAAGGGCAGGCCTAGCCACACAGAGCTTTCAGTCTATTTGTATCTGATCGGGGTGGCCATGTGGGTGAAATGCATAGAGGAAAGTCTGCACAAGCAGCTTCCTCCTGTGATAATGAGTTTATCTTGGTGTGTAGCTGGCCAGTGAAAACCACCCCAGTAATAGTTTCATGGTGAGTGTAGTACAAGACTTCTCTCCAAATGGAGGGGCATATCCTGCCATTGGCTAAGGCAGGGGATTTCCATTGAAAGTCCAAAGGATGTTGGTCAGGTCTTGTAGATTTTCTACTTGGGTGAAATGAATCCCAGTGTAGCGGGAGAGCACAAGGTTAAGTCAAAATAGGGCACAAGGGGTTCTTAAATGGGTCAGAGGTCTGTGCTGGGCCCCTCTATAGGGGGTTGAGTTTCCCCTGTTAGGCATCAGTCTGTCCTGAAGAGTTAGCTAGAAATCTAGAGAGTTGTGGTTGGGGCCAGCCGTGCTGGCTTCCTCTCCTCCTGCTGACCTGGACCAGCTGGCAGACTGCAGGAGGCACTGGGGCTGGGGAAGAAAATGGGACTATGCAGCTTCTGGGTGCTAGAACTGGGGCAAGTTCATGCAGCTGCAATGAAATACCCCTGAAAAATGTGGCCTGCATCTTCCCCTTTGCACCCCTCGTAGTCGCACGTGAATGGAGTCTTGTTCCCAAGATAACAATTTGAGTGGGGGTGGGGAGGGGCATTTTGGTCCTAAGTCACTGAATGATGCTTACCTTCTCTTCCTCCTCCCCTCCCCTGCTGTGCTTTTTCCTTCCACTGCAAGAACCGGGGTCGTCTGGCCGAGAAGAGGACAATCCCTCTGCCTCCCATCAGGATCCCCAAGAAAGAGCTGACTTCAATTTTCTCACATAGTGATGACAGTGAGGAGAGTGACAAAGCCAATGGTCAGCACCCTGAAGTGAAGAGGGAGGAGGATCTCCACATCAGTATCATGAAAAGAAGGTACTTCCCTGCCGGAGCGTAGTGGCATGGCGAGCCCCGAGATGGAGAATGCTTGACGGCGAGTTGCTTCCCTCTCCTAACTGTGCCAGGGGAAGCTCAAACTTGGGAGGGCGGGGAAGCCCCTTGGAGTGAACTCCTTGGCTGGCAGTTAAGATGTTAGGTGCATCCCTTGTCTGCCATGCCTTAAGTGTGGGATTCCTGTTTCGTCCCTCTCTTTCCTGTTTGGAGACAGTGGGTCGCTGTGGAGCCCTTCCTAGACTTATCATGGGATTTCTGTCTGTACTAGAGGCATGGGGCCATTCAACCCCCTATCTCCTTTGACCCTCTGTCCAGCATTCTTCACCTTTGTGCTCTGCGAGGATTTTTTGGCTGAAATCTGTCAACGTAGTGTAAATGCACTTGAGACTTCATGGATTTCCACTGGCTCTGCGTTCTTAATTATCCCAGAGGTCTCAACTAGAAGAACCTGGGTGACCTAGAACCCCTAAAAGTATTTGGATATTGCTAAGCAAACTGGTGGCGAGTAGTGGTGGATTTTTTTTCCTGCTCCTTAGTGGGAATAACAAATTGCTAAGGGCCAAATCCAGGTTTTCTTGAGATCAGTGGCAAAATTCTCCTCATTTTCATTGGGACTGAGCTTGGCCCTAAGAACTTATGGGTAAGCATGCAGGTAGCTTTATTTGAAAGAGTCTGTGGTATGAAAATAGTCTCTAAAACATCTGGGGAGGGATCTCTCCATCCAGAGATATAGCTAGCTTCTTAGATTTATTCAGGATGTGTCTCAATATAGTGACCACTTCTAGAACTTGTGCAGAGCTGAAAAGGTGGCATCATCAGTCACCTCTGGGTGTCACTCAGCATAGTCTCTCCCAGCCTGGCTGCCCGTGGTATTCAGCTGCAAGATTTTGGCTTCCCACATCCCTCCAAAGAAATATGTTGTTTATAAGATCTATAACTAGAGGGAAATAAATATCTACAGCTGCTCTGTCTCAGCCCCCCATGCATGTCATTGCAACTCATCTTGATCATCATTTCGCACTAATGCATAAAATTGCTCAGATTCGAAGACAAGCCCTATAAAAACAGAGGACTGGAAACTGAAGGCATGTAATTACTTTTCTTGTGTTTTATGTGGTTCTTGCTCCTGAGTTGATAAGCTGTTTCCCTTCTGAGATCCCATCTGAGATCTTGTGGGGAAAAAGGGAGACAAAGTAGTAGACCAACCCTTCCAAGTGAAGCCAGGAGTTTCTCATCCACTATATGGCTGTTCCCTAATACTGCTCAGAGATTACCAAGTGGAAGAGCACAGGTAGCAGAGGGGCGGCTGGGCTGTATATGCACAGGCAGAATTGCACAGGCAGAGGACTGTTGCTAACAGTCCCACAAAGCCACCCTCATTCCCCCACCTCCTTTAATTATGCTTTTAATTCTGCAAAATTACAGTGCTAGGTTTTCTCATTAGGAGGGAGAACAACATAATAAATATTTAATTGATTTCAGGGCCCCCAAAATATAAAGTGCTTTTATCTTAAATCTTTAATTACAGTAATTGCTTTGCCTTGTTTATTAGGAAATGCAAGGGGGAAAAAAACCCCCAAAGCCCTACTGCTCATTATTCATTGGTCCCTTAACTCATCATTTTGCGGCACCTCCCTCTGTTTTTCAGTCATGTGTTTGATAGTCTCTAAACCTGGATTCGAGTTTTTTAAAGGAAGAGGTGATAGTTTCCCATTAGTTTGAACCCATCTGCTTTGCAAATGCCTTTTTTTTTTTACTTCATTTGGCTGCATTTATGGGAGGACTTTATGGGTTCATGGCACTGGCATTTTCACTTTGAGATCAGGCCAAACCTGGTTCTGAGGCTCATGGAAACTTTGCCATCAGCTCCACAGGAGCCAGTTCTGGGGACTTCTGTGCCCCCAGCTCTTGATTAAGACACAGCTTCATCCTGGGAGGTGCTGAGCACTTGCATCGGCTCCTCTTTGGAGTAATCGTGGACCCTGCCTGCTCCGAGGGGGCACCTGGACATCTTCGGGAAGGTTGCCGTTGAGTCCCGTGCAGACTCCATGTGATGCTGTAGAAGTTCAAGTTCAAATTTTCCCTGGTAGTCAGGACCTGGGGTCTTTTAGCAAAGGGAAGGAAAGGTTTCAGGGAAGGAAGGGCAACATTTATAGTAGAAGCACATTAGCTGTGGTGTCCATCACACCCTCGTGGACTCCCGACTGGGAGAGGAGGAAGCGGAGGCTGGTGTGAGTGCAGCATTGCGGGTGTGCTGGGCCAGGGGCAGAGAGACCTCCTGTTGCTTGCTCGGGGTTGGAGCTGCTTTTGCTTATTGTCTACTGAGGGGCTAGAATGACTGATGGATCTGCACTGATCTATCGATATGCACTGACAGCAGCCAGCACCCAGGCACTGCCGTGATGGGAGCAAGGCAGTACTGAGAGCGTCTTCAGTGTCCTCCCCTCTGTGAGGAGACATCTGTTGTGCAAACCACCTCTCCCTTCAAGAAGCTCTTAAGGCTCTGGCCCTCGTATCATAGAAATGAACATAACACCCATTGCCCCCTCCCGCCCTGCACCTTGGATGTGGAAGAGGGTGCGTTGCACCAGAAAGCATTATCTTGGCGCCCAGAGGAGGTAGCTAGCTGCATCCCAGCTGGGCACAGCTCTGCCACAGCATACATGCTCTGGCTCTGCTCTCTCTTGTCATTAGCAGCGTGGGACAGGGTGGGGGGTGGGAAGGAGGGGTATGGCCAGGCTGGTTCCACAGCCGGCGAGACGTGGAGCAGACGTGACAGCTGGGGCTGGGCAGAGACGGTGCCCCATCTGCTTTCTGTTTTTCATTCCCCTGTTGCTGCCCCCACTTGGGGTGCTGATGGATTAGGCCAGGGTTTTATTGCCACCAATGGAGAGGAAGAAATAGGATAAGCTGTGGTTGCAAGAGAGCGAGGGCAGAACCCAAGCAGATCTCAGTGTGTTGCTCTCTTGTCCCTACACCCCACAGTCGGCTCCCTCCTTCCCTCCCTCCCTCCCTCCCAGTGCAACCCTTGGGACTCTGCCTCATTTTCTGATTTCTTTTCCATTGCACAGCTTGTTCCCTCTCTGGTACTGACTCCAGAGGACCCTTACCAGGACCTTGGAGGTTGGGGCAGGCATCTTTTGTGCTCCTTTGCCATTGTCTTGCTGTGCGAGCTTAGACAGAGCCCTTTGAGCCACTTTGTGAGTGCCTTTTGCTGGGCAATGGGACACCAGGATCCCGGTGCTCTTGGAGTGCCCATGTGGGGAGGATCAGCTAGTGCAGCTTTCAACTTAGGACACCCCAAAAGTGGATATGGTTGGACAGATTAAGGAGATGATGAGGGCTTTTACTACCTGACCCATGGGTCCCTGCTAGTGCCAGAGGCTGGCACTAGCAGGGATAGGCCTTGTCACCCTGCTACGTGCCAGTCAATCTTGGAGGTGCTGGGGTGCTCTTAGGTGTCTCTCAAGCTGCCACTCACTCAGAAGCACGGCAGAAACCCAGGTATCCTCACTCCCTCATTTCCAGGGAATGGAAGTATATGGGAGTGGGACAGAGCGTATTGCCTTAGCAGCTTTGCTAACTTAGGCACTCCTAACAAAGTTGGAAACCCAGCCGTTCAGCTGACAGGAGACTGGGCCAGCTCCGTACAAATGCTGGTGGCCAGGAGGGGTTTTATGCATCTTTTAGTAAGACGCATTGAGCCCTGCTTAGCCATGGTGTGCTAATTAGCGCTCCGTGCTCAAGCCTCACGTCTGGGAAACAGAAGGCTTAAAATCTTGTCTCCTATAACCAGATGCCTCTGCAAAGGTTGACGCTGTAATGCTTGATCCTAGAGATGGAGGTCGGAGGAAGGCTTTCCAGCAGCGAGCACTGGAAGTCTTTGGGGCAGTGCCACTAAAAGACCTTTTTCCTTTTGTATCCAGGGTTTTGGTCCCCCAAAGTCATGCTTTTATACAGGCTTGTCTACACACACAGGTTGCATATAGGCTCCAAGTCTGGATGCACGTATATTGACACTAAATCACATTTTTTGACATAGGGAAGGGAACTTATACATTGGTGATTGGGTCCATGCTAGGGGCTTTACATGGGTAGTTACTGCAGTAGAAATCACATTGCAATGGTGATACTGATCCAAAACGCTGCATAGACCAGGTCCAAGTTAGGGTTTTTGGCTTCCTGAAGACTTTTCCTCTTGTGAAGGCTTGTTGGCTAAGCTGCCCTTCCCTCACAACCTCTGCTTTTCCCTGTAGCCCTTCTGGTGGGTTTGCTAGGGGTGCAAACTAGGACAACAGGGCAGTGATTCCTACCTTCAGTAGGAGTTGAGGGATCAGCCTCATCTGGGCTTGCAGGAGAATCCAGACCTGGAGTGCTGAGCAGCTGGTCTAAACCAGCCAGAGCACATGAGCGGAGAGTTCGGGTTGAAAATGCTTTTCAGGAATGCCACCATGTCTAAATAGCACAGGGATGTCCAGACAGCGGTGTTACTGTGTTGTGTCAGGACCGTGGGGCAACTAAAGTAGAAAGAGTTGGCATTAACGGTACATTTCCCAGCCTCCATGTGGTTTCAACCAGACGGTTGAACTTTGGGGCTTGTAGCGTGCATGTGAATTTAATTCCTTCTTTTAAATGTAGCATCTAATGAAAGCATCTGAGCTTTGACACAAAGGGACATAACGGCTGGTAGAAACGCACATTTGGATAATTCCCCGGCAGACCATAATGGCATAGCTAATAATAAGAAGCAATAATACTTAAGCACCTGCTAAAACCAATAGAAGTTTTTGACCTGACCAGCCGTAAAGGCTCTGAAGGAGTCGTCTCTGGCTAGCGAGCAAATATGTATTTTGGCCTGAGTGATGGGCAAGATACGTGCGAATTGCTGTGCGTGGTAGAAACGCCTTTGAAATTCTTTTTGTAAAAAAGCAAGCGAGAGCAAATGCAGCAGCAGATTGCATAATGAGACCACATGAGGGGCT